ACCAAAACCTTGCCACGTAAACCCAACACAGGGCCCTAATGTTGCATTTAAACATGTAGATTAAAAAAAAGGTGTTCTTTGCAACAACTTGGCTTATGTCTGTAAGATGAACTCTCTAATTCTCTAAAACAGTATAGTCACAACCAAATAGCTTGTTCAGTATGGTCCTTGGCTTGTGCTGATTCCCAGACCACGACTGAATGTTATCTGGGAGAGTACTAGTAAACCCAGGACAAAACCATGCCCAAAATAATGGTAATGGTTTCACACTAGAGATTATGATGTGCAGGTACTCGTCTCATGTCCTAGCCATGTTTAGTTTAATTGTACAGATACAGCTGAAGCAGCTCACTGCAGCAGGCAAGAAGATCATAGAATCATGGAATCATAGAATGGTTTGGGTTGGAAGAGACCTTAAAGATCATCTAGTTCCAACCCCCCTGCTAAGGACAGGGACACCCTCCACTAGACCACGTTGCCCAAAGCCTCATCCAACCTGGTCTTAAACACTTCCAGGGATGGGGCATCCACAACCTCTCTGGGCAACCTGTTCCAGTGCCTCACCACCCTCACAGTAAAGAATTTCTTCCTAACATCTAGTCTAAATCTATCCTTTTTTAGTTTAAACCCATTACTGCTTGTCCTGTCACTACACACCCTGATAAACAGTCCCTCTCCATCTTTTCTGTAGCTCCTTTAGGTACCAGAAGGCCACAATTAGGTCTCCCTGGAGCCTCCTTTTCTCCAGGCTGAGCAATCCCAACTCTCTTAGCCTGTCCTCATAGGAGAGGTGCTCCAGCCCTCTGATCAACTTCATGATCATGACCCTCTTAACTTTCAGAAGAAGGATTGTTTCATGTCTACAACTGTTCAGGACACTTTTCACATATCCATAAAAGTATCAATTGAGATACCTTCACTACAAAGGAGACTGAATCACTGCCAGTAGCAAGGGCTTCTGTTTGGGCTCTGCTGCACCGATACTCTTCAGAAAGGTACTAACAGTGATTGCAGCCTGCACCAGATGAAGCAGGCTTCTATTTCTAAGTGATATGTACATATCCACAAAGTTGTGAGTCTCCTATCATGTAAGAAGAGACAACTTTCCCAGCAATATATCATTTTATATTTATTTCTGCAGTCTTATTCAGTTTATATTTGGGTCTTCTGCTGTCTCAACAAGAGACAGGGGCATCATCAAGATTGCTGTTGCCTCTTCTGGGCCCTGTTCAGGCCTCTTAAGAGACTACATAGACAGGTCCTTCATTAAATACTGCCACCAGCCTAAATCAGACAGTACCATGATTCTCCTAAGCTATGTGTGTACATATTTCTCCAACCAGTTTGGTACCGACTGAAACAGACTTCCTTGTTCTCTTTTGACTGGTGTGTCATGAGACTAGCACAATTGTCTCTTCTTTTTCTCATCTTTGCTAGGTGAGAACAATTACAACAAGGAACAGAGACTGCCTAGGACTTTTAAGTTACAAGGCATTATACATCTTTGTTACGCCATGTGTCAGGTTACGCCTTCCAAATTGTCAGGTTTGTTTCAGGGAAGTGTATTCTACAAACACATACCCTCTCACCCTATTTGCAACAGTTCTTGCAATAGGACTCTACCTAGGATGGACAGTTCAGCCCAGAACTGCAGAGAAAGATCCTTCTTGGTCCCCCAGTTTGTTTGCATGAAGGACGTAAGAGACTATTCTTCTGTTCCAGCTCTGCAACTGAGAGGGAACTGAAGTAGCACAAGGCATATTCTGGTTTATATATGTACATGCCTAGCAATAAGGAAGGCAGGATCTGAGCATGCTGCTTAAAATACTGCAAGGGTTAAAAAAGGTCTTAAGTCTTGGATAGTAATGTATGTAAATAACAGTGTGGGAGTTTGGGCTACGTATCTTGGAAAAAATCTGATTCCTGGGTGGTGATATCTGTTTATAAGATGCTTGCTCAGATGTTCCTACCATGTTCATATGAGCTAGCAGCCCAGCTTTGAGCCCAGCTGAGCGTTTTCCTCTTCTTCCCCCCTCTAGTTGCAGCTCTATGATATTGAAAGTGGCACCAAGACTACCATATTGAACTATTGCTCCTATGTGCAGTGGGTCCCAGGCAGTGATGTGGTGGTGGCCCAGAACAGAAATAGCCTTTGTATTTGGTATAACATTGATGCTCCAGAGCGAGTCACCATGTTTCCTCTGAAGGTAAAGCTGTGGAGACTTGATTACCTCCAGCAGTTTCTGTTACTTCTTGCTCATGTGTGTGGGAATAGTCAGGGTGGTATTGCAGAAGGGAACTGGTAGTTTCTTCTGGACAAAATATGAGCTCACATGTCAATTTTGTGGCAGGCATTTCTGGCAGAAGATGGAAATAGTTAAAACAGGAAGGAGCCACTCAGTGGCTTTTTCCTTCCCTCAGGTGAGATAAGGATGATGTCTGCTCAGTGTGAGCTCATTCAGCAGAACTTTAATCAGCAGAGCAGTCAAGATGCTGTCCTCATATCCCTGCTACCCTGCATTCTTTAGGAGAATGTGGGAATGTTGATAGCTGGTACTCTTTCCAGGGGGATATTGTAAACTTGGAACGTAATGATGGAAAGACTGAAGTGATAGTATCTGAAGGGGTGAACACTGTGTCCTATACCCTGGATGAAGGCCTCATAGAGTTTGGAACTGCTGTTGACGATGGGGATTATCACAGGTAAGTGCTAGATACACCACATGGTGATGGCAGGTAGCCCACTTCACATAACAGACATCTGAGAGTCAGCAATCCATGAATTACAGCAGTACATCTTTCCATTCAGAGTTGAAGTTTAGGCTCTGAGCATAATGTTGGTGCCAGGTCTGGCTATAATGCACAGCAGAGTCCTTCAGGGCCAAATATTCAGCTTTTTCATCCTCACAGCTCTGTAGTTTCAAACTCAGGGGCACAAGAGACTGTCCAGTGTGGTCCTATTGACACTGACAGAAATTCACTGAAGGCAGTTTTCACTTACCTGCAGTGAATGAGACTGCCTTAGCAGCCAGATGTGAAGTGGTACTCGGGTGCTTTTGCTGCTGTCCCTCCAGGGATGGTGACAGCATCATGGAAACATTCAGGAGCTGTGCAGAGTGAAAACTGACTGTCTGAAGCAGTCATGGTAGCCACATGGGCACTGCTGACATCATTGTTATAGGGCTTAAAATTGACAAGGGAAGAAAATTTAACATGTTCATAGCACTGTTAGCACTTGAGAGACTTCTTTGCACCAGGGACTTGCTTCAGACACGACACTTCGGACTTGCCCCACACTGCTACAGCCTTCTGCTGATCATATGCATCTAAGTACCTTAGCCCAGGTAGAGATCACCTATATCTTTGAATTTTTCCCTGATATATCAGGCCTCGTGTTATATAATCCTTTTCAGAACTGGTCACACCCAGCTTGCTTTGTTTTCAGTGCAACTCTTGTTACAAAGCTCCTGTCTCAGCCTAGGATTTTTCTCACAGTTCTTCTATTCTGTTACTGAAAGTCTGCAAATCTCTCTGTGTCAAGGGCTACTGCATTTTTGGAGACACTGGAGATGTCCACAGAGACTGAAGCTATGTGGAAGACTCTAAGCAGACTGGCTTTGGAAGCTAGACAGCTGCACATTGCAGAGAGGTACAGGAAGAAGCTATAATATCTTTGTGGCTTAAACACTCTCTTTGCTGAATCCCCGACAGAAACAAGGATCTAACTAAAGAAGTGACTTTTTGCATGGCCTGGAAAATTCTCTGCATTGGAGAATTAAGCGTTTTCTATTCCAGGCAATGACTTTGCCCTTTCATCCTAGACAGTAATGCTAAACCTGGGCACAGGAAGACATCTCTCTGTAGCATAAATTTTTGCTGATGGCAACCCAAAGCAGTGTATAGCAAGGCTTCAGGGAGCTGACAGACGTGGACAAGTTCAGCACATCTCTGAAGCCTGGGAAAGTGAAACATGAGCACTGGTCATGTCCATGGCTTCTCCCATGGAACAGGGCTAGAGGGTACATCTGAATATGGTCTTGGCAAAATCCGTCTCTTGAAGCAGGGCTACCCAACCTCTCCAGCTTGCAGGGCTGAGTCTGCTGCCCAGGCTCTGATTTTCCTTTCTTGGACCAAAAGTGGCCAACAAAACGCAATTATTGACTAACTGCTTTGCTCTTTCCAGGTGCTTTGCAGCTCTAGGCAACATGGCAAAGGCTCGATTTCTGCATGAAACCAATACCATTGCTGACCAGGCAGCTCAAGAGCACGTAAGTCAAGCATTTTTTGCTGTGCAGGGCAGCTGCTTTCCTGTAAACACTTGCATACACATTATCTTCTGTATCCATGCTCATGGGTATCCTGCTACAGACCAGTACCTGGTCGTGTAGAAGCTACTGACATAATCCTTCATCCATGCCTGCCAGGTCCGTCTTCTGGCTAGCCATTTCATACTGCTCCTGTCTTGTCACTTCAGCAATTTTCATCTGTCTTCTTTAGTTTCTGTAATGACACAGACCCTACCTGCAATCACCTCCCTTGTATCATTCCAGAGCCTGTTCTTTCACTCAACAAACTGATTGAGCTAACTGATGTTGTCTGCAGGGTGGGGATGGTACAGACCATTATCTGGTGCGTGCCCGCTTGGCCATGCTAGACAAGAACTACAAGTTGGCAGAGATGATCTTCCTGGAACAAGTGAGTAAAGGAACAAGGAGCAGAAAAGGTCTCATTTATTTCTGAGCAGGGAGGTTTGTGCCCTGGTGTGAAAGAGAAAAGGAAGAGGTTGGTCATTCCTGGGAGAAGAGTTTTTGCCCTGAAATAGAAGGAGGTATTTCTTGTTCCAAGGTTTAGGATTGCCCTGACGTGCATGAAGGGCAAGAAGAAATGGCCTCAAGTTGAACCAGGGGAGGTTTAGATTGGATATTAGGAAAAATTTCTTCATCAACATGGTTGTCAAGCACTGGAACAGGCTGCCCAGGGAAGTGGTTGAGTCACCATCCCTGGAGGTATTTAAAAGATGTATAGATGTGGTGGTTAGGGACATGGTTTAGTGCTGGACTTGGCAGTGCTAGGTTAACGATTGGACTCGATGATCTTAAAGGTCTTTTCCAACCGAAATGATTCTATGGAGAGGGTGAGGGAGGATGTATATCCATGTAAAGGGGATGGTACACTTTTTCAAGTGTTTTCTGCACATCTAACCCTGCCCACTATGAGAGCTTGATGGCAAAGTGTCTGCTAAATGGAGCCTTCAGGTTGACACTTTGCTCTCTGAAACAGAATGCTACAGAGGAGGCCATGGACATGTACCAGCAGCTGCACATGTGGGATGAATGCATTGTGGTTGCCGAGGCCAAGGTACAGAATATAGCTGCACTGGACTGTGGGCTGGGCTTGCTTGATAAGTCTTCTGGTTGGGAGTTCATTCAAGGTCTGGGTTCTCTCCACCTGCCCTATCAGGACCTCACTTCTGCTTGGAGCATCTCCAAGCAGAAGGGAAGGTTGCATTGATGTAAGTGATGTAGTGAATATATTTCCTGGGTGAACAGAGATGGAGAAAAGCTACTGAAATTGGTTTAGGAGTATCTAGGGCCTCAAAAAAAAATGGATGATGCAGTGGTACACAGGGCTGGCATTGTGGTTTCTGCCTTGCCCAGGTCAACCAATGCTGCATTTCTTAACAGGGACACCCAATGCTGGATAAGTTGCGTCGGGGTTACTACCAATGGCTGCTGGATACCCAGCAGGAAGAGAAGGCTGGGGAGGTCCAGGAGGGACAGGGCGACTACCTGGCAGCCATCAGCTTATACCTGCGGGCAGGGCTGCCAGCCAAAGCAGCACGGTTGGCCATGAGCAGGGATGAGCTCCTGATCAATATGGATGTCATCAATAGGGTCTCCACAGCACTGATCAGAGGGGAATTGTATGAACAGGTGAGTGGCCCACCCCATTGGGCTTTCTTCTTAGTGACATCAAAGCTCTTACCCTGTCTTCTGCATCTGTGAGATACAGGGGGACTGAGCTGGAAAGTAGCAGATGTAATTCTGTGTTGATAAATTTGCAGTTACCATTTGGGAGGAAGTCCTAACTGCATCCACACAAGGTCTAGAGTTACTGCTACTAGCCAGGAAAAAGATCACAACTCATTGGTAACCTGTCTCTGAAACATCAGCTGTGTTCAGTAATAGTCAAGGAGGCCCTTGGGAAGATAGGAAAGGAGTTGTGAATCAAACGGAAAACTTGATATCACTGTGAAAATGTACAGTGCTTCCTCATAGTAGAATAAAAAATGATGGTACAGCTTTCATATAAGGATAGGCTAAATGGAAAAGCTAAGGAAGAAAAACAAAGGAGGTTATGCAGACAGTCTGTAGAACCATGAATATCGTAGAGAAGGGAAGTGATTATTCTCTGTGTCTAATAACACAAAAAAATCAGTAACTACTTATTATTAGGTGACTGTTTTAAAACAAAAGGGTGTTTTTCACACAGCACATAATCATGTTAATGTAAGAAAGCAGTCCTGAGTCAGATCAGTGCACAGCTTGGTATCCTGGCCAACAGTGGCCTCTTGCAGATGTTTAAGAAAGAAATATAAAGAACAGGGCAGGCAAAGATAGGGTGGTACTTCCCCTAGTGTACTTTCATGGTTTCCAGCAATTTGCAGACTATAGTGTACCTGAACAATTTTATGTTTAAGAGCTCTTGATAGATTTTACTTCCATGAGTTTGTCAAATTATTGTTTGAACCATCTGTACTTTTTGATCTACAACGTTGGCTATGAGTTACTCAGTTCTGTTTTGGGTTGTGTGAAAAAAAACCGGTTCTTTTTGCTGGCCTGTTTTATGTGCCCTGCTTAAATTACATTTCTCCAGTCTCATTTTACCTTTGGCATTTTCTGACCATTTCACTTTGACCCAAGAGAATTTTGTCCTTTTCCCAACCTGCCACGTTTTCTTAAGCCCTCAGTTGAAAAAGTGTGAAATTCATTGCTGCCAGATGTTTTGTTACCAAAAGTATAAATGGTCCATAAGTGATTAGACAAATCATGGAGGTAAAGTCTGTCAAAAGCTATTAGATATGATTATGTGAGGGCATCATGACACAAACTCTGGAAGCTTCTACAATGCAGATTGTTAGAGACGGATAGATATAATGGAGGAAACACTGGTGTATACTTGCTCTGTTCTCACTGTCTTTCTCTAGACATGTGCTTTTGCCACCATTCAAATACTGAACGGGATGAATCTTTGGTCTGCCAGGATGGCCTATCTTATATTATGTTCTAAGTTCTACAAGCTTTGAGCCTTGTCCCATCCTGCTGGTGGCCACCTTTTCCTACAGGGTAAAAACCTTCTGCTGCAAGAGGCTGAGCTTCCCCCTTCACTGTTTATGCCCAGGGGTCCCATATGAGCATCTGCATAGCAGAGCTTCTAGAGGCCATGGTCATAGAAAAGGCTGTTGCTGCACCAGCCACTATGCAGAGAAGGGCAGTTGTCTCAAAAACTTTTATCTTGTTAGAAGGTGGCGCCCCAGAAGAACACTTGGGGTATGTCGATCTGCAGAGAGGACAATGGTCTCAGCACATGCAGTCTTTCCTAGAAGTTCCCTTTAACCCCATGCTCTCGGTTAGTGCGGAAGGCATAGCTGATGGAGAAGTCTGTGTGGTAGGACTGACAAACTCTGCACATGGGACCGGTAGGGTATATGATGGTGTGGGGAAATAGTGGCTCTGGAAACTGGCAGCTTGTATTTGTCATTAGGCTGGAGACCTGTTTGAGAAGGTTGGGAACCCACAGAAGGCTCTGGAGTGCTATTGCAAGGGCAGTGCCTTCCTGAAAGGTACTGTGCTAAATATGTTCCTCCCCCCATCCATCCCCAGCAGGAGCCTAGGTACTCTGGCCTGTTGCCCTGGAGATGCCTAAATGCTCTGAAGCTTCCATATATCATCTCATTCAATGTATGTTCTTTTCACATAGTTGTACCTGTACACACAGTCCCGGAACAACATCCCAGTCCCAAGGCCTTGATCATGCTGATTGTACCAGCATGGATTTGGTCGAGCTCTCCACAGGGTCCAGATTGCTGGGTAGCCCATTGGAGCTGGAGTGGATTAGACAATCACCATTCCCCTCCCTCTGTGCCCCATCCAAGGCCCATGTTCGCCTCAGTTCTGCTTCCTTGCTGGATTCAGTGTAACAGCTATCATGTCCCCTTACAGCAGTGGAGCTGGCTCGCCTGGCATTTCCCGCAGAAGTTGTGAAGCTGGAGGAGGCCTGGGGAGATCATCTGGTGCAGCAGAAACAGATGGATGCTGCTATTAACCATTATATTGAAGCCAGGTGGGGGCAGGTGATGGCTGTATAACCAGCAGCAGTATAACCTGCAGTACAAGCTATGAAGTAGATATGTTTTGCCCAAATCAGCAAAACCTGAGTAAGCCCCCTCAATCCCACTTTGCCAGTGCCCCTGGTGCTTATGTGCAGTCTCTGCTGGCCCCAACTATGGATGCCTTCCTGCATCTCTCCCAAGGTCTTTCTGCCCTGATTACTCTTCCCTGCTGTCCTAGTTCTTCATCCTTTCCCCTTAGCTTTGCCAGTTATTCAGATCCTTTTTGCTGCTCTAACCCAGGAAGAAGAATCAAGCAGGAGACCACTTTGGTCTCCCTGTCTTGGCTCAGCTGGCTGGCTGCTGGCTGACTGTAAAGAGTTATGGTTTTGATGCTAGGTGCTCGATTAAGGCCATTGAGGCAGCCTTGGGAGCCCGGCAGTGGAAGAAGGCCATCTACATTTTGGACTTGCAGGACAAACAGACAGCAGCCAAATATTATCTCAAGATTGCCCAGCACTATGCAGCTTTACAGGAGTATCAGGTGAGGCCACAGACCACAATCATTGCTGCTCTGTGTATCCGTTGGGACCACTGAGTATGGTCATTTCCCTGCAGGTTGCAGAGGAGCTGTTCATCAAAGGAGACCAGACCAAGGATGCCATTGACATGTACACACAGGCTGGGCTCTGGGAACAGGCTCACAAGGTAGAGTCAGATGCCAAAGCTTCTGGGGACCTCACCCTGCTTGGTGAAATGTCTTTAACCAGGAAGTGGTGGTGCCTTCTGCACCAACACCTGATCAACAAGCACTTTTCCCAAAGGATGCGTGTAGGGGCATCCAGTAGCCAGCAAGAAGTTAGTGTCTGGTATTCACATCATGTCTGTGCCCAGCCCTGTGTGGGTGCACCTGTAACACAAATAGCACTCTGCAAGGGGGTTGATCCTGTGTGCTTTGATTTCAGTGACAAATGACTGCCCATTCTCTGCATAGCATATAGCACGTATACCTGCTTGTAATGGGAAGGAGATTGGTTTTCCCCTTCTCCTTCACTACCACGTATCAAGAAATTACTCTGCAATGTGCTGTAGTTTCTCCCATATGTGTTCCTTTTGGCAGCTGGCAATCAAGTGTATGAGTCAGGAAGATGTGTCTGTGCTCTATATAACCCAGGCCCAAGAGATGGAGAAGAAGGGCAAGTACAAAGAAGCAGAGAGGTGAGCATCTTCCTTGGTTCTAATCCAAGACTGAGCCCTGAAAAAATAGCTGTAGTGAAGAGGAGCCCTTTCCCAAGGTGGGAGTAGAGTTTACGACTAGGGTTTGGAAAGGTCAGATGTACTCTTTCTACACATGGAGACCTAGAGCTGATATTTCAGAGTTCACAGGAAGAGAAGTCACTGACTGTTAATGTACCTTTGTCCATCAGGACTGAAAAGAGGTCCAGGTGGAGCGCAGCTGTCTCATGTAGCAGAGGAAATATGGCCAGGCTTCTCCCCACTGCACAGTGCTACATCTGATCTGTCATGGTCAGCTGAGGATAAGATATGGAAAGTGGAGTGTTTCCCATCCAGGTTACTAATGTTGTCAATTCTAGATTAATAACAGCACAATAAGGTTAGTAGGTACAGGGACAAACACATCTGTGTATCTGATGCCATGGTACCTGATCTCAAGGATGCTCAATACATGAGAGGGGGCATTACAGTTGGTGAGGACACATTTGGTTTAATCTTTTTGCTGGCCTGTATGTGTAAGTTGAGGTTACATTGTCATGTTGCCATCCCAACAGGACTAACAGCCTCAGGTCGGAGGCCAAGATGAGAACAGGTCACAGAAACACAGAGGCTCCCTCCAAGTCAGAACTCAGGTTGACAAGTGAGGATGGAGGGAATAACTTTGCCCTACTGCAGCTAATGGTGGCATAACAGAAGGGCTCTATCATAAGCAGTGTTCAGCCTTACAGCCCACAACAGTCATGCTGCACACCAGTCATGCGTTTTGGCAGTGTGCTCAGGACCTGGTTCCAGCTGGGCAGGATGCAGAGAGACTGCAGGGACTGGTCATGTCCTCGGCTGAGCCATTTGAATGTGCTTGTGTTCCCAGGCTGTATATCACTGTGAATGAACCTGATTTGGCCATCACCATGTACAAGAAATGTAAGATGTATGATGAGATGGTTTGCCTAGTAGCCAAGTACCACAAGGACTTACTCAGTGATACCCACCTGCACCTGGGCAAGGTGAGTGCATCTCATGACGGGATCAACAAGGCCAAGCAGGGACAAGAGTGTCACCAACTCATTGCCTCTAATTGCAGGAGCTGGAGGCAGAGGGACGCTTACAGGAGGCTGAGTACCACTACCTAGAAGCTAAGGACTGGAAGGCCACAGTAAACATGTACAGAGTGAATGACATGTGGGAGGAAGCTTACAGGGTAATACCACTTCACAGCTATCCCACTGTGCAGGGATCAGGCTTTGACTGCAGGATCCTGGTAGGAACTGCTCTGTTTCTGTACTGCAAAATTTGAAGACTTGGCATATACTACCTAGCTTCAGCATGTGGCACAGCACTGGAGGCCCTTGTGCCTGCTGCTCTGCAGCATTGTACCCCAAAAGCAGGGCTTGATCCCTAGCCATGCTGCAGCACTGCCTTCCTCCAGGCACTGCTCTGCTCCTATTCACTGCACCGTGTTGTACCTCAGAGGTATTGCTCTGGCCATAACCACTCTGTAGCAGCTGCCCCACAGCAGTGCCCCCCTCCAGTGTGGACATAGATTGACAAGGGTCACTTCTGCTGATGTAACAGCAGTATGGGCCATGCTGAGGAGGCAGCAGCCTCTTCTCTGCTCTGCCATATTTGTCTCACTCTCCCCAGTCATTGGTGGCTACAGAAGAGTTCCTCAGGGGAGAACAGTTGGTTTTGGTGCTCCCTCATGACAAGGCGCATCATGTGAGAGAGGAGTCCTGGCTCAGCCTGCTGAAGATGAAATGGATGCATTGGGCTCTTCCGCTTTCTTTGCTTTGGATAGGTGGCCAAGGCACATGGGGGAGCAAACTCCTATAAGCACGTGGCCTATATGTGGGCAAAGAGCCTGGGTGGAGAGGCAGCTGTGAAACTCCTCAGTAAATTCGGACTTCTGGAGATGGCCATTGACCATGCAGCAGACAGCGGGTAAGCAGGTCCATCAGCCCAGCACTTCTCTCCCATCTGCCTGACCTGAGAAAAAGGGTGGCCCAAGAACTGTATGCACATGATAGCTGCATGTCCAGGATATGGGATGTCTTCCCGCCCCACCTATACTTCTTCACACAGGCATTCCGCTTCCTTGACACATCCCACCTCCTGTCCACCTGTTAGTCTCACAAATGTCAAGTCAGAGCTGGGCAGGCAAAAGCAGTTTGCCCTTTAGCCGCAGCAGGGGGGCCTTGTGAGAGCCTCTGGGCACTGGAGGAGGTATTCCTCATGTCACCATAAGTAACTGCCTGCCAGAAGAGTTTTGGCCCCATTCTGCACCTGCCCAGCCATCCATCTGCTCTGCCCCAGCTCTCCCGCATCTCTAGGCTTGGGGGAGTCTTGTGACCTCCCCTTAGGGTTGAACCAAGGGCCTCTGGCACTAACAGCAAGTGTGAAGGAGCTGAATTTCCTTAGTGGGGGCTCTAAAAGTTTCTGTTCTCTGGTCAGGAACAGGAGGAGTGGGCAGTGACCATTCACTTGGGATCTTCTGTATTCCCCTCTCTCCTCTCATGGTGTCTTGTGTTCAACTTGATGTCTTGCTCTTGATGAAGGCATGCCCTCACAGCACATACTCCTGCTCTCACCCCATTTTCTCTTTTGTTGCAGGGTCTTTGAATTTGCTTTTGAACTGGCCCGCCTTTCCATGAAGCAGAAGATGCCAGAGATCCACTTAAAGTATGCCATGTTCCTAGAAGATGAGGTAATTTTACCCCCCGGAATAGGTGGGAGTTTCCTGATCACTCAGGTAATTGAACAGTTGTCCTTAAGGGCTGCTGCAGCAGGCACTTCTATGGCTGCAGTCACTGCTTACCCAAAAGGCTCCAAAATTACAGCCCCAAGCTTCCACACACATCTTTGTTTCATAAATCCTCTCTGCCTCATGGTAAGTAGAGGAGATCATGCAATGGTATCAGGGCAGGCAGGCATGCAAGCAAATTCCTTCCTCTCTCCCAGGGCAAATTTGAAGAGGCCGAAGCAGAATTTATTAAAGCTGGGAAACCCAAGGAGGCAGTGCTGATGTATGTATCCTTCCCCATCCTGGCCTGCTGCATCTCCTCAGCCTGTATGATGCCAGCCTGGTTGCTTCTCCAGCATTGGTCTGCTCCTTGCTGTCCCTCTTTGTTACATCTCATGTTGATTCCCCTAGGTTTGTGCATAACCAGAACTGGGATGCTGCGCAGCGTGTGGCTGAGGCTCATGACCCGGACAGCGTGGCTGATGTGCTTGTGGGACAGGCACGTTTTGCTTTTGAGCAGAGAGAGTTCCAGAAAGCGGAGGCCTTCCTCCTGCGAGCACAGAGACCTGAGCTGGCAATAAAATACTACAAGGTGAGTGTAGTCTGTAACAACATTATTGCCATCCTCTCACTGGTCAAGAACCCGGTTTGGATGGAGGAGGAGTGAAATCCATCTCCCAGCTCTCCCTGTCAGTTTAGTAGCCAAAGAGAAACCATTTACTCGGGTGGTTCCTAGTAGAACTTGATTCTGACTTGCTCTTAGAAGACTGAACTGGTTGACATTTCACAGCATAGCTGAGCTCTCTCACAGCTCTGGGAGGAAGTATGCTGGTAGAAGGCTATGGGCAGTCCTCAGGGGTACCACAAGTGGGTGCATTTGGGGACACTAAGTGTCCATTCCACAGAGGTAACTAGGATGGATAAGCACTTTCACCTGAGGTAGCCTGGATGAATAGATAGACATAGGTGCCATTTGGGGGGAGGAAAGAATTGGATGGTGCTGCTGTGGTTATTTCTTCCAGTGGGTCCTCTGGCAAGATGACATGAGAGGCTAGATGTGTTATGTGATGCCAGGGTGTGGAGGATCCTGGTGAAAATTTCTCCTCCACGTTGTGCTTGTGCAGGAGGCTGGCATGTGGAGCGAGGCCCTGCGGATCTGCAAGGAATATGTGCCTAGTCGACTAGAAGAGTTACAAGAGGAGTGTGGCAGGGAGGCTGCCAAGAAGGGCTCCAGGTAAGGAATGCTATGGTCAGGCTGCAGGGAACACACAGGTAGCTCTTCCTCTAGGCCATTGTGCTGATGCCTTACAGAGACAGCCTGACAGGGTCCCTGACATCCAGTTGTTTCCTTCTTGAGGACCTTGGACTTCTTCCTGCATAGGTTTCCTAACATCCATCCTCCCTGCTCTGTGAGACTCCAGGCTTATTCTCGCCATCCAAGGTCTCCTAGATGTCTTCTTGCTACTTACAGATCTCCCAGATGTTCTGTACCACCAGTGCATCTCCCCACTTAATCAATTATCTCCTCAGCATTTGCTGTGTGCATTCCTTGTCTCGCACACAGCCCCCTCCGAGATCTCTGGCTTACCTCTGCTGTGCCCCTCCCTGCCTGTGCCCTACCCACTGTCTACAGAATCTCTGTGGCAGCATCCCAGTCTTGCTCACGGTCTGCATTCCTCCCTACAGAGGAACAGAAGGGCTGCTGGAGCAGGCACGGGAGTGGGAGCAGGCTGGGGAATATGCCAGGGCAGTGGACTGCTACCTGAAGGTGCGGGATCCCAGCAACAGTGTCCTGATGGAGAAGTGCTTGCTGAAGGTACAGTCAGGGGCTATGATTCCCTTCATCTACTCTGCTGACTAGGAGCTATTCCACAACCTGCAGTGCATCCCAGAGAGAATCTGCCGACTCCAGTGACCACAGGGTCTGAAAACCTTCATGGTCGTTCTCTTGAGCCATGATGGGCTGTGTGCTTACCCTGCACTGTGCTGCCATCCTTGCTGTGGCACCACTTCCAGCAGCATGCTGGTGTCTTTGTGCCCATATCTCCATGCACTGAAGAGCTAGACTTTATGACTTAGACCTTGGTTAGATGAGCACCCTTTCTTCTTCTTGTGGTCCATGTCCACCAGCCTTTGGGTTGTGTTCTTCTGCATGCTTTTCACTTGTACCTGTGCCCTTGTACCAACTTCAATGACAATTATGTCCTTGTCTGATCTTCTTCCATGTGTGAAAGTAGCTGGGCTTTGCTCCTCTGAATTGCTGAAGTGGGCTGTCGTTTCTTCTCCCCTTCCCCCATAGTTCGAGCACTCCTGACTGTCCTTTAGCTAGGATTGAGCTCTTCTCTGCTTCATCCCTCTCTTGAACAGCTCTTACACTTGTGTTGCTGACAATTTCTCTTCACAGGCTGCTGAGTTGGCCGTTAAATTCTTGGGTCAGTCACAGAGCGTGGAGGTGACGCGGACTGTGGCTCCTCAGCTGGTGACCATGAAGAAATACAGTGCGGTGAGAGCTGCCTCCTGTCCCCAGACTACCGAAGAAGCAGTGACATAGAAAGGGAAAGGTCTCTCCAAGGGAAGGAGGCCAAGTCACATCTTGGGGTGATGGGTGGATGGCCCTATCCAGACTTCAGCAGTGCAGAGTCCTCAAGGAGGAGGAAGGAGGGGAAGGGATAAAGTCCTGGAATAGTGTGAGAGCGCCAGGCCTTGGGAGGAGACAGGAAGCAGAGAAGGGGGTTATCTTTTGGGAAGAGACTTTCTGTTGTTGCTGTGTGCTGGTCACTTCCAACAGCATCAGCTCCAGGCTTTGGGGATTCATCTCCCATGGGACTGTCTCTGGCCCTGCAGGCAGCTGAATTGTACCTCAACTTGGACCTCATCCAAGAAGCTATTGATGCCTTCATTGAAGGGGAGGAATGGAGCAAAGCCAAGCGCGTCGCTAAGGAGTTGGACCCCAGGTATGGCCTGAACTTCTGAAATTATACTCTTCCTGCTCCCTGTCCCATCCCGAGATGATCCCTTGTCTTGTCCTGTCCTGCTGCCCCCAATGTTCCCTGGATTCTTCCCACAGTAGCCTTGTCAGGCTTGAATGGGCACATTCTCCATGGCTGCCCTTCCCAAGCCATTTACCATCCTGACACTTTTCTTTTGCCACACATCCCATGGAAATCATTATCCCTTCTTGTCCCATTCCTATCTCCCCTCCCCTTGTCATAATCCTGTGCATGCACTTCATGATTCCTTTCTCTCCTCACACATTATATTGCAAAGAGCTGTCTAGACCCTTTCTTTCCCCTTCTACCTATGCTCCCAGCAGCAGACATGGCACAGCTGTAAGTCCTCTTTTTCGCAAAGTAAACAAAGTTTAATCCGGCCTCTGCACTGATGCAAGACACTATTATATTAGTCTTTCTGCCTATTAAGATTCTTTCTACCCAGTAGGTCAGAGGAGTATGTGGACCAGCGTTACAAGGAGTATTTAAAGAACCAAGGAAAGGTAGATTCGGTATGTATTCGAGATGTCTCACAGGCTAGGGAGTGATGTCAGGATCTGTGCAGATCCTCGGGGACTTTCTCATGGGGCTTTTGCCTGAATATGCCCACAGGTGAAGAGTCTGTATGTGCCTATGAGTCATGGTTTCTGTATACCAGATGGGTCACACTGCATCTGTGCTTCCATACTGTAGAGGGGGAGGGACTGTATGTGCAGAAAAGACTTGGGTGGGCTGATGCCTGCCTCGATGCTGGTAGGAAACCTTACCTGCACAGTGAATTTATGGTTGTTTCCATCCCCAGCTGGTGGGAATAGATGTCATGGCTGCTTTGGACATGTATGCAGAACAGGAGCAATGGGAGAAGTGCCTGGAGGTTGCAGCTAAGCAGGTGAGTGCCCATGTGAGCCCTCAGGGGACAGACATGGTGTCCTGGCTTTCTGAAGCAGGATGAGCAGGATTGAATGGGCAGGGCAAAGCAGTTGTTTCTGTGCGGAGCACAGAGGCTCACTGCAGCAGCTCAAAAAACACCTCCACTGTCCCCCACTTGCCCAATCAGGCCTAGTAGGGAAGCATTAGAACCCAGAAGCATATTGGGTTTAAATTTTGTGATTAATGGAGCATTGAAAAAAGCTACATGAGTTGTTTGGGCTGGAAGTAATTGGTACCATGGAAACAGAGAGATTTGTAAAAGAAAGCCTTCTTTCTACATGCTCTTTAGAAGCCTGGTGTCAGTAGAAATGAGACGTCCTTGTTGTGAAAGCAAATTTGACTTTTTTTTTTCATTTTTACTGACCTAAAACTAACAAAATTACCTCAGCAGAGTAATAAAAATGGAGAAAAGCAAAATGAAATTGTTTTACAGTGCTATTCCAATGCAGTAACAGGAGAAGGCTCTAGATTACCAGGATCTATTTTGAGAGTTTGTTTGTATTTGGTGCTTATTCATTGGTTATTGATTGGTTATTGATTCAATTGTTATTGATAAAGGAGCTAAACTAAGGGCAGATGCTGATTCTTTGAAGTGAGGTATTGCTTCAGATTGAATAACAGGGCAACCCCTGGCAATGGAGTCTGCAGGAGGCATCGCAGCTAATCACTCAGGCAAAACTGAAAACTTGGGCAAGGACTGGGAATGTGTTGTACTGTATTTTGATAGCTTTGGTTCTAATGCAGTAACCAGTGACCTGAGTTTGGCCACCACTACAGTAAACTTCATTTCTTTTTGACTCAGGCTTTTCTGGTGATACGAATGGTCTTTGTTGTAGTTGTTATCTTGGAGACTTCTGTGCTGATGTTCTAATTATCAGGAGATACCAGTGCTGATCTTCTTCCATAAAGAATAACTTCACACTTAATTCAATGCTAAAGGCTTCATCAGTTTTATCGTGAGCCAGGCACAACATTACCACATTCAGTCCCCGAAGACGTTTGTCTGTTTATGCCTCTAAGAGCATTAGCACAACCTTGCTCCATGACCAGTGCAGAATTTCATGACTTTTGACTCAGCTGTTCTATGGTGATTATACAGGGAAAAAAAGTTATATTTATCAAAACAGGTCACATACCAAACTTAAGCTTTATCCTAAATTGTCCTGCACCTAGTGTTTCACCAACATCCACATCTGGATGTTCAAGCTCTAGACATATCATTGAGGCACTGGTCTCTCTTGTGCTTAATAACCTTGCTTCCATTGCTCATTTTTTGACAGGATTGCACATTTTGCACCATCTTCCTCATCTCATTAGTATAGTTAAGCCTGTGTGAAACAGGTCTTTGCTCGGTTCAAGTAAGGCCTACTACAATCAGTCCTCAGCAAAGTGTTTATGTGATCAGCACATGTATGAGCAGCGCTCCAAGGAGGCCTCCAGTCCCACAGATCTGACAGCATTTGAATAATGCCTTGCAAATTATGAAAGTCTTCAGTCCACAAAGTGTTTTGATTCATTGTTTCATTAGACTAAGGGCCAGTTTACAATTAGTACCTGTGATGCCACATTGTGGAAATACTGCATCCTTTAGGTATTTGGCAGTATTCCTTTGGAAAGTGGTGAGCAGCTGAAAGAACAGCTTTATTTGCATGTGTGAAGGATAAGCACAGCATCAGCTAACCAGGATTAGAGGTGTCCAGTGTGGCCCAAATCAAAACCAAGGTCTGCTGTGTGTAGTCTGTCTCTGATTAGCTGGTCTCGCCCTTTGGGATTCAAGTGTATGGGTATGCGTACATGCATCTGAAACCATCCCTACCAAGTGACAAGTATACAGTTCATGAATCTCACGCTACTGCTTTCTGTGTGCTTTCTCCAGAACTATAAAGTCTTACACAAATATGTAGCTCTGTATGCAACCCACCTCATCCGGGAGGGCAGTTGGGACAAAGCCCTGAGCCTGTATGTCCACCATGGAGCACCTGCCAACACACAGGTAATGAAGACAGCATGACATCCCAGTGTGAGTTGCCAGAGTGTGCTCCGATCTGCTACATGAGTCAGGCTTCCAGTCCAGAACTGGGATTGCCAGGTGTTCAACACCTCCAAGCCACTTCAGCCTTATTGTGAATTCTTCCAGAGGCTCCTCAGCTAGAGGACTAAAGGCAATCTCCTGGCATATATTCTCCACAGGGAAGGAGCAGGGGGAGTTCAGTATTTGTGCTTGTTTTGAACACCTTAACCACCAAGACCAGAGTAAAAGGAACCATGTTTGCCTCTCAGAGCACTGGCTGCAGGAGGCATTCCTCCCCATTTCCCTGCTTTGTCCTGCAGCACCCCTTGCAACCAGCAATCTGCAGCAGTGCTACTCCAGGAGCCTGTGCACAGAGCTGCCATTCCCTCAGCCTGTGGTTGACAGCAGGAGAGTTCTGCTGACTCCCCATCTGGCTCCCTCAAGATTTCTCTCCTTTTTGTTGCAGAATTTCAACATTTACAAGCGGCTCTTTGTGGAGATGGTGAATGCATCTGGCATGAATTGTGCCGAGGCCTACTCCAGCTGGGCTGACTTGCGTGATGTTCTTTTCCATCTGGTGAGTGTGGGCCATGGCCACCACTGCCTGTTAGACTCCAACGCCCTGGTGGCTCCTAGCAGGGGAGAAAGAAGAATCAGTCTCTAGCCAGGTGGCATAGGAAGTATTTGTAGAACATAAGCAAAGGGGAAATGGGAAAATGTCCACTATGTGGACAGTAGAACAACAGGATCCTGTGAAGTGGACGTGGCTGGGCAAGAAGTCAGGGAAGATGACGACCCTGCACTCAATGCCAAATCCTAGAAGTGGGTCTGTACACTGGCACTGGCAGAGCTCAGTGTGTCACTGCTACATGAGAGCTTATCACAACATGCCCACTTTTCATCCTACACCCATGTTCAGCAGCCTGGGTGGGGCAAGGACCTGGGGAAGGCACAGAACTACAGACCCTGGAAAATAAAGTCCTTCCCATCTCCCCAGAGAAGCCTAGAGCCTTCTGCACCTTCTTCCCTGTTCCAGAATACCCCAGCCAGAGCCCATGATTGCCTCTTCTCTGTTTCTGTCCCACCAATACCCACCTCTAGCACAAAGTAAATCCACAGATCCCCCTTTGTCCATCCAAACTCACCCCTGCTTCCAGTGCTGGCTGTTGTTACAGTACTATTGGCGCTCCCCTTCTCCCACAGCCTCCTCCCCTCAGCACTCCATAGGACCCAGAGCACCCAAGGCCGAACCCTTCTCCAGTTCCCAGAGGTGCCTAGGTATTTCATAGAATCAAAGGATCATAAAATGTCCTGAGTTGGAAGGGACCCATAAGGATCATCGAATCCAACTCCTGGCTCCACACAGGACCAGCTGAATCAGAGCATATGACTGAGAGTGTTAGCATATGACTGAGAGCATTATCCAGACGCTTCTTGAACTCAGTCAAGCTCGGTGCCGTGACCACTTCCCTGGGGAGCCTGTTCCAGTGCCCGACCACCTTCTCGGTGAAGAACCTTTTCCTAATATCCAACCTAAACCTCCCCGTCACAGCTTCATTCCATTGCCTTGGGTTCTGTCACTGGTCACCAGAGGGAGGAGATCAGCGCCTGCCCTTTCGCTCCCCTTCGTGAGGAAGTTGTAGGCCACGATGAGGTCTCCCTTCAGTCTCCTCTTCTGTAGGCTGAACAAACCAAGGGACTTCAGCCTCTCCTCATATGTCTTCCCCTCTAGACCCATCGCCATCTTTGTTGCCCTCTTTTGGACACTCTCCAATAGTTTTATGTCCTTTTCTGTACTGTGGTACCCAAAACTGCATGCAGTACTCAAGGTGAAGCTGCACCAGCGCGGTGTAGAGTGGGACAATCACTTCCCTAGACCAGCTAGCAATGCCATGCTTGATGCACCCCAGGATACGGTTGGCCTTCCTGGCAGTCTGGGCACACTGTTGACTCATGTTCAACTTGCTGTCGACCAAGACCCCCAAGTCCCTTTCAGCATGGCTGCTCTCCAGCGTCTCATCGCCCAGTCTGTATGTATAGCCAGGGTTGCCCCTTCCCAGGTGCAGAATCCGGCACTTGCCCTTGTTAAACCTCATGCGGTTGGTGATTACCCAGTTCTCCAGTCTGTCCAGATCTCTCTGCAAGGTCTCTCCACCCTCGACAGAATCAACAGCTCCTCCCAATTTGGTGTGATCTGTAAATTTGCATATGACACCTTCTTGTCCTACATCCAAGTCATTTATGAAAACATTAAAGAGAACTGGCACTAAAATGGAGCCCTGGGGAACCCCACTAGTGACTGGCCGCCAGCCTGATGTGACCCCCTTTTACTCTTTGTGCCTGATCCATCAGCCAGTTGCTCAGATCCTTCTCTCTCCTAGCTTTTCCCTGCACTCGTGGATGAAGCGTGCCCCTGTGCTCTCAAGTTCTCATTTACTGTCCTTTTTTTTTTTTTTCCCCAGTGTGAAAACTTAGTGAAGTCAAGTGAGGCAGACACTCCAGCACACAAAGAGTTTGAAACAATGCTGCTGATCTCTCACTACTATGCCACTCGCTCAGCTGCCCAGGGCGTGAAGCAACTGGTAAGGTTTTTGAAGTTCCTTTGCCAACTCACCACCCTGAGTGCAGAGCCCTGTGAGGACATGCAGGTTCAGGGCTACCCATAGTTCACTATTCCACTTCATGGATCACTTATGCATCGTGGATTCATGAGAGTGGGACTATGGTGATCTGGGAGCCCACCACTAGCAGGTGGAACGGGAGATAGTCTCCTCTGACTCCTTATAGTGTGACCCCCCAGCCACTGTGACTGCAATGTAAACCAGTGGGAAGCTGATCCATATGCTCGGCACAAGTTGTGAGAGCGGAGGCACCAGTCGAAATTTAGGGATCACACAAAAATCTGGCTGTCAAGGAGAAGCACTGCTTCCTCTTCCACTGTCCTGGGCCATGAGAGCTGCTGGGCTTCACACATGGTCTTGAAAGTAGATTGACTTTTTGCAGGGCTTTGGGAGCTCATGGGCCTGTTTGCTGAGCCTCTCAGGGGCTTTGGGAGCTCATGAACCTGGGTGCTTGGCATCACACAGGGCTTAGGCTGATACTGCACCTGTGTGCTGGGCCTTCTGTGGGGCTTGGGGAGCTTATGGGCCTGAGTACTGGGCCTCATGGGGCACTGAGTATTTTTGACTCCTAGGTGTGTTGGGATTTGTTGCAGGCCACGATATATAGCAGAGTACCTGCTGTGATTCATATGGGATTATGGAACTGTGATAAAGCTCTGTATGTGTGGGACTGGAGCTGTGATAAAGCAGGCGGTGAAAAAAAAAAAGGCTGCCACAGCTCGGATGCCAGTAAAAGTCATAGGGGAGACTGGTGCTTCCCCATGGCTATGTGTCTAGATGTTGGGGGTACAGAGCCATGTCAGACAGAAAGACCCAAGTCTGATGTCTTGGAAACCTGTACAGACCTACACAGTTGTGGAATGTAGAGGTGTTGTTGGGTAGTCTGTTTCAGACTGTGAAGGAGGGGTGGCCTTCCCAGTTCTGATGTGATGAGAACCTATCTGGCAAGCAGAGAAGGGAAATTCTCCCTTGAATTCCTCACCCTCGCTCCACAAATTATGTGATTGAATACATGAAAAAAACTTACTGTGACTGTGGCTGAACACCAGAACAGGTTTCTTGGAGAGGGTGGAGAGTCTCCACCCTTGAGACACTCAAAACCTGACCAGACGTGTTCCTGAACAACCTGCTGTAGCTGACTCTGCTTTGAACAGGGCAGGGGGGCGTGGGGCTGTGAACTGGCCTGGGCAATCACCAAAGGTCCCTTCCAACTGCAACTATTCTGTCACTCAAATGGTGGGAGTTTGTGTGTGATTGCTAGTTAAAAAAAATAGCAAGGTTAATAAAGAAGTTCACCTTCAGACAACAGTCCTCCTGTGTGTTCACATAGTGAGAGTACTTAGAGGCAGGACCAAAGTTTTTAACCTCTGTTTCATCTTGGGAATATGGGGTTGCAGAGTCCCTACCGTGAGTCTGGGGCAGTATGATCTCATGAGATCCCTTCCAACCTGTTTTTTCTGTGCTGATTGTTGTGGCTTTACTGTCCCTTCTGTCTGCAGGACACTGTGGCTGCCAAGCTGTCCATTTCCCTGCTGCGCCACACTGAGCTCCTCCCTGCAGACAAGGCTTTCTATGAAGCTGGGATAGCTGCAAAGGTAAGAGCTATCGGCCACCAGAGCAGCTAAGGAGGTGGAGGACCCTGGGCTCAGGGATTCTCAACTTTATCTTCCCCTAGCCTCTCCTGGCTGCAGTGGCACACAAATAGCCAGATGCTGGCATTGGAGGCCATTCCTCAAACAGCTTGCCAGCCTCTGCATTTTGTCATGGAATGGCAGTTGGTGTGGAAGGGCAGACCTGAGCTAGCAAGGGCACATGAACTGCAGGCCCAGGGGTAGACCAGAGGACACATTATATTGCATGGCTCTGTTGTTAGTGTAGATTCAGGGCTTCTACCTGGTCTGCCTTAGGTCTTGCTCCAGGTCACCTAAGTGTTACCTTCCTCCTGAGGCTACAGGCTCTAACTGCCTGCCCAGATGCAATGACACGTGGCTAGCATAGCAGTGTTTTCTCACTGCTTGACACTGGCTGTGCAATAATGCTTGACTCCATCTTGTGGGACAGCCTTTGGGCTGGTTGTCCCAGTGGTTGCCTGTGAAACAGTCTTCAGGGATGGTGAGCTGGGATGTGCACTCTCCTTTATTACCTATGCTGCAAGTGGGATGTTTTGGGACAAACAGAACTATATCCTTTCCAGCCATCACTCAACCAGGAGAGTTGTGGCTGTGAAGATAAGCTGCCTGGTCTCACTTGGGGTTTCTCTCTGAACTAGGCAGTCAGTTGGGAGAACATGGCATTCATCTTCCTGAAC